TCGTCTGTTTTAGTAAATCGTTTAATTTCAATATTAGCATAAAAAATAATAATAAATTATTTAACTCTACAGTACATTTCTTATCTAGGTAACAAAAACAACATAAATTTGTGTATTTGCCCAGTTAGTTGGAAATTAATAGAAATAACACCTGACAGTAGTGAAAGTCCAGAGGGTTATTAGTAGGCAAAATAACGAAATAGATAATCCGACATATGTTAAAATACTTAAAATCTTCAGATGAAGAGGATCAATCTTTATTGGAAAGAAAGCAAAAGATTGTTTTATCAGCTAGTACTTTTTAATTAAATAGCCAATTCATAGTGAAATATAAATGTAAAACTCTAGAGTTTACCAAATATTGAGCAAATTGGAGTAAAACTGAGAAACTGGTCAAATGATAGGCAATACATTTGACTATTGTACTATTTAATCTCTGAGTTTCAACTCCATCTGTAGCCCATTGACTAATAAATATTTAACGAGAAAAGATAAGAATAAGTCAGTTTAGGTATTTAATTTAAGATAAATTTCAGTGAATAAAGGCAGAAATAAGTCTTATTGCAGTAAAGATTTGAAGGTAGGAATACTTACTTTCCATTCCAATAACTACACAAAGGTTGAATCGTGCTGTTCTAGTTTAAAAACGATAGAAAGTTAATAACTACAAGTAGTAAACTATAATAAGCGATAATCACATAGATTAAGCGAAAGATTACGTCATTGATAGCAGATGCAATTATTTTGTTAACTTAGTTCTTTCAACTTTCACTACCTCATCGATTTTAAAGTAAAAGATAATTGGATCTTGAAATTTCTTTGTTATTAAAGGTTGAATTTTACATAATACGGAATGTTTAAGTGGTGGCCATTTACTGCAAATCGAAAAGAAAATTTTAACAGGCAAAACCAGCCCTTTGGTCTTAAAAAAATTAATACATTCGTATTTTGTAGCAAAATAATATTCATTTACAAAATTAAAGGAAAATTGATTTAAGATGCAAATTATTAGTCTCTCTCTCTCTATAGTATCGAAATACCATACTTAGGCAGCAACAGCACTAGAACAGTAAATTTAAAATAAAACATTTTCCAGAAGCGAATTATGATCTTAGATTGTATTCGCGTTTAAGTTTACTAGTGCAATACAGAAGCATGATTCATACAGTTATTTAATATAGCATTTTTTGCTACGGAATTAATATTCTTCAATAGCATAATTTGTGCCATAAGTTTTCTTTAGATTACCATCAGACGATTTTAACAGTTTGTAAGCATTCTAATATTACGATAACTTGCCAATTTTCTTTTCTACTGTCACTTATTTATACTGTAATTTAGAGTGTAAACGATCAGTCCTTTAAAAACTTGTCAAATATAGAATTTTAATTACAGTATAGAGATATTGCGGTACTTTCATTGCATATTTTACTTTAAATCGATCATACAGTACGAAATATTAACAAATAGGCTCAGCAGTTTTATTAACCTGCTACTTATTTGAACCGGTAAAGTTTCATAAACGCCGACAACCAGTTGAAATCTCTCTGTAGGATTATTAAAATCAACTATTACAGCTAGCATTAATACCATAAACTTATTGAAGATGAATACGTATATATCTCTCACCAGAAGATTCCCTTGGCACAACAGATATTGGTATTTCAACCTTTACTGGACTACCAAAGGTTGTAAACTGCAAATATGGAATTTTTCCCTCCAAGCTAACAGTTATCGATTCACTAATATCATTTCTAAATGCTTTCATTAAGAAATAATAGACTCCTAAAATACAAAAGAAGTTTCTAAGGCCGCATATTCGAATTTAAATAGCTAAGACATTAATATTATTAGTTTTATGAAACTATATAGTTTTTTAGGCATATGTTACGAGCTAGGAATAGCCCTAACTTGCGACAAGAATTGAGAGAGTGATTTCTACCCTTTACCACTGTTATTTCGAATATCAAACAAATGATATTTCAAAACAGATAGGGTTTAACACAGGGAGACCTTCAAGACTTACTAAAAAATCGCAATCTAATTTATTGTCGGCGAACTTGCCGTTTAAATAGGTTTCGGACCTAAAACCAATTTAGCTACATAAGTTATCTCGTCTATTGGAAATTAACCAAATTAATACCCTAAAGAAATTTTATCTGTACAGATTAGATACAGTCTAATCCTATTACATTTACTGTAACAGTATTAAAATAAACAATGCTTATTAACAGTTTAACAGATACATATAAAGCTACTCTACTAAGACATTTCCTCTAAACTTAGAAATTGTACTTTGAACCTTATCAACCTTGGAGGTGATAGATATAATCCAATTTAGCTGGTTGGCTATTACTATTTTAGTCTATGTAATCCCAAATTAAAGATATTAACTGTTAACTATTAAAATTACAATTAAAGAGACCGTAAAACATTTCTGAGATATAAACATATATAGAAATTAACATACAAATAAAGTATACGTCACGAAGATTACCTTCATGATACAATATAATTCTGTCGTTGTACAGTAGTATAAAAGTTCATCTCGTTAACGTTTATACGAATATCAAATTTCGATTGGCATGCAACTACATTGGTGACTAAACCTACGGCAGTGATATGTGTTTCAAATATGGTTGTTAAAGTGCAATCGAAAACAGAGCATGTTTATAAATATATTACTATCTATTTTACAAATATAATCTACTTTGTGCAATACTACGTTAATATTATAAAATGGCAATAACTACTCTAATTTCCTATTAAATGCTATCGTACTTTACAATAAATCAGATCTTCAATTAAGGACTATCCAATTAGTGATACCGTATGTACTTTGCTACAATAGAACATCGATGTACTTACAACCACTAAGACGTTTAATTCAATAATACTATGCTCTCATGGTCTAAACCAATTAATTTATGCTATTAATAACTCACTAGCTAACTTGCCCGTCGAGATCGAAACTATACCGGTAAAACTGTTACATCTATCGTCAAAGTGCTATAATTTACGTACTACTAGTAGTATCTTAATGTAAATGTATTCGAAGACAAGTACTGCGTGATCTTGCAAGCAAGCCTACAAACGTGATCAATGTGTATCACGAATTTTCAAACACAGCAACTATGCTATGAGAATCTGCATTGTACTAGCTGAAAATATAGTAAATATAATCTATTGATAGCGTAATAGTATCAATATTCT